ATAATCTAGCTTAATGTCCTTTTTCAATAAAAATATATACCATATAAGGAGGACACTTAATTACTTGATGTTTTAGATAATAACACCGGCTTTGGCGCAATTTTTTTCATCATTTTTATTTACTATATATTCATAAAATGTAAAATTTAACTATATAAAAAAGTGATATTTAGACATAGCTACTAATATAATTTTTAAATATCAAATTTAATAATGATATCACTGTGAGTCTCTATGTGGCCTTTGTTAATGGACAGATTAAACACAAAAGATTTACTTTAGAGAAAACAATTCAACGCTCAAGGAGGAACCTGATGTGTAACATGCAATATGACAACCGCAGAGTACTCTTTACACCTCTTTTTCACATGTCCCTTTGCTCAAGAATGCTAGAATTACACTAGCCCTAAACTGGAATCTAAACATGGAGTTCATAAAACAATATACACCACAAGAAACAACTTCTCACACACATCCTTCATGGAAGTTATAGCAATCGGGTGTTAGAATATTTGGAGCAAAGAAATGATCTCATATTGAACAATGTGCAAGTTAATTTCGTCAAATGGAAAGCAGATTTCAAGGAGGAATTTAGTCAGCATAAGCATAGAGTAAAAGAATTAGACAAACCCTTCTGGCAATCATGGATACACAATGTTACTTAATCTATTCTTTTTTGTAATCTCTTTTGTAATTTCTTCCATTTCTTCTTCTTCTTTGTAAATCCTTTCTGTAATCTTTTGTGTAAATTTTATATCATTTTTAATATAGCACAGTAGAAGTTTATTCTGCTGTTTATACCATCAAAAAAAATCTAATTTAATATTTTCCAACTATTGAAAAGTAATATTTTGAAGTCCGGTAGCACACGAAAAACTCATATGAAGAACACGCAACAACCTAAATTTGGTTCCTTCTAATAAGTGTGTTTTCATTCCTGCATTTCAAATGTTAAAATTCTAAACCAATTTATTTTATTAACTCCATCTTTTGCTCCTCAGCTTATCAGTCGCCACCAAAATTTAATGTTTTAAACATAATTTTAGAGTTTATTTTGATGTTTATAGTAGTTTATTTTACAGCATTGGCTTTAAGTCACTAATAACACATATATAAAATTTTTCCACAAATAATTTTTTAGCACCATGGCTTATAATCAGCTATAGATTTTACAAACATTGTAAGCCTAACACAGACTTCCAAAAATATGTTGTAGAGGGTGTTTGGCCTGTCCAAAAGTTCAGGCAAGCTTCCATGTTTTCAAAATTTACCCTAAATCATGTCCCCTAGCTATTCACCTTCCTTGATGAATATAGTGGCCAGACCATAACTTTTAAGGGAGAGAAGAGCGTGGGCTAGAGGCTCAATGGGTGGATGCAAGGTGTACACCGGGATCAAAGGGGGAGAAGCTAGCTAGGGTGGTAGGGAGTGTAGAGTTGGGAGACAATGGACACAAAAAGGGAGTTGTGGCGAGAGAAGGGGAGAGAGGAGAAGCTAGTTAGGTATGGGATATGGTTGCGGCAGTGTTGAGATAGGCGAAGGGGAGTGAAGAAAAATAGAGAGGGCTGATAGTTATAACTCTGGATCATGTTTAGATGCTAGTACTCCCTCCGTTCCAAAATATAAGGCACAACCACCCTTAATCTAAAGACCAAGAAATAATTATTATCATCTTGTAGTTTGGATCATCACAATAAATATAATGCATGCATCCAATAGGATTAAATAACATGAGACTGGAGGATTTAAAAAAGTAATAATTTAATGGAGAAGATGTCATAGTTAATTGCATGCTTGCATGCATGCCTTATATTATGGAACTTCTAAGTGGTTGTGCCTTATATTATGGAATGGAGGGAGTATAAAATATGTAATAAATTTAAGCTAGAACATTAGCTTTGATCATGTTGTTCAATATAGAGTGAATGATCCTCTAATAAAATTATCTGCAAAAATATTTTTACTGATGGGTGCAGTACGTTTTGAGAAGCTCTCATCATGCAGCAGCCTTAATCATGGACGGTGTTTCCAGAACCATTTTTGATACACTTTTCTGAGACGGTTATAGGAACGCGTATATGTAATGAGGCATCTCTCGTATATGTTGCTTTTCCTTTTACAGTGAGTAAAAGATGGCAATAAGACGGAACTTGTGGATGTGGTCAGACAATTATAACACGCCCATAGTTGATCTCAAGTGAGTTTGCTATATACGGCGGGGCCCACTCCCGTAACCCCGTTCTGATCTACTACTTGAAAACTTCCTAGCAGCATCATATCCGTCCTTGTTGACTGATGTCACTTTCGTGAACCCTTCGATCTATGAAAAGTCAAGTACTATATAAGTTTAACAAAACGTGCCACTCCCAAGTCCTAAATAGGAGCAAATTAAATTAAAGCAACAGGTACCACGATGCTAGCTATATATAAGACGAGAAGAACGTTAACACTAGCTAAGCCGCCATGCATGATTTGTACATGTTTTATGCATGCGTACAAATATGAAATATTATATTACAGTCGTCAGAAAAGTGCTCCGTTTTTTTGTTAATTGGGAGTAATAAGTATTGAAAGCAAAATATGCGTCGCCACTAACTGTGCTAGCTAATTCCGGAATACCTTTTGCTATATTTTTCATTATGCAGATTAGATGGGCAATATTGTTCATTGGATACGATTAATCTACTCCCTCCATTTTATAATATAAGGTTGATCAAATTTATTGAAAACACAGTAGTATTTTCAACACAAAACAAACATATTATTAAAATATATAATGCAACTTTAGATTTAATAAAATTAATTTGATCTTTTAGACGTTGGTATTTTTTTTAAAAAAAATGATCAAACTTTAAAAAATAATTTACTAGGAAAAAAATCAAAAATAACTGATAATATAAAAATGAAGAGTGAAGTGCATGGGCGGTCTCTAAATTTGTTCAGGTGTGTCACTAAGGTCTCTGAACTCTCAAAATAAATTTTTGAGTCTCTCAACTTGTCTTATGTATCATATAAGTCCAAATGAGCTCTAACCCGCTTTGTGAGAAGACGTGGAATACCACAGTGATGGTTACGTGTCAGTGGGATCCACATGTCAGACACATAGAAAAAAATGAAATTTAAAAAGAGAGGAGGGAGAGAGAGAGAGAGGAGAAAATGATGTTTTTAAATTTGAAAAATAAATGAAAAAGGAAAGGAGAAAAAAAATATGTTCTTAATTTTTTTCTATATGTGACTGACATATGGGATCTACTGACACATAGGCATCACGATGGCATGCCACGTCAGCACACGTAGAGGGTTGGAGCCCATTTAGACCCACATGACACCCGAGATAAGTACGACGGATCCAAAAATACATTTTAAGAGTTTATGGACGTAGGTGACACACCCGTACAAGTTTATGGACCACCCATGCACTTTAGTCTAAAGTTTTTTTTGAGAGGAACTTTACTCTAAAGTGAACAGAGTATATCGCAAGTTATTTTGGTTTTGACTTTTGCGGATAGCTCAATTCCAATGATTTATGGATTAACCACGCAAAACTTCAAAGTACGGCAGAATGATTCCGAAGGTAAAAATGACTGGTCATACATTTCTAATCAGTAATAAGACATCAAAACTCAATTTAAATGGCACGTGCCAGTTAGTGGCGACGCATGTTTTTCTTATGTAAATTATCAGAGGGTATAGACGTTTGACTAAATTAGCATGCTTGCTATTCGTATGCTGCCGAAGGGAAACTCTTAGCATTGGAATTCAGGGCACAGAAAGCAGTACATCACCGAAGAATTCGAATTAGGAGGGCTCCTCAGGATTGGAATGGTTACATTCGTTTCATTTATCCGTTGAATCTCTTTATGGATCGCTCCAAAGTGTAAATAGACCAAATCGAATCAAACCATTGAAACCATTCGATTCAAAATGACTCACATGTATAAATGATTTAAATTGTATATATACTTGCTTCTCTGTATACAAAATTTAACTAAATCTAGCAAGTTATATATTATAAACGTGAGTTTAAAAATTTTGAGTCCAAGTTTTACATACATGCATGTACTATGAATTCTTGACCTATTAGTAATGCTTAAGGATCCCAAATGTATAAATGGCTCAAATTTTTACAAAGTTATTTTTCATTATAACAAATCATCCTTAAAAGAATTAACTGAATTTGACAAGTTTTTATAATAGTGTAAAAGTGAGTTTAAAAATTTTTAGTCAGAGTTTTGCACACATGTAATATGAATTTCTCGGTTTATAAATAATGCAACTCATCCATTTGAACATCGATGAATAACCTATAAATATAATAACTCATGGTGGATTAAACATATAAAACAATATGGATCAAGAAACTCCATAGAAATGGTTTAGGTTAGATCNATATCTTAACCGTTCCGGACAAAAATCACCATCACTATATTATAAATTCATTGTCCGGCCCGACACAACAGGATGCATTCATGGATGCGTGCATGCATCTCTTTCAAGGTTCACGTCCGCCCTCGTGCTACTTTGACCCATGACTACTTCTCTCTCACGCCTTTCTTCGTCCATGCATCTACGGATCTACCAACTCTGCCACACAAATATATATACAAACAAGCATTGATGCATGTATTATATATATGTTCGATCACTCCCACACAATTCTCCAAACCAAGAGCACATAACGTATCCAGGGCAGAGCAGCATATCGATCTTAGAATTAGCTTTCAGTTCACGCGCATCATACAAAAATGGTGACCAACATGACCCACGATGACTACGTCTCCCTCTGCCTCATGGCGCTCGCCCAGGCGGGCGTCGGGGGTCAGTGGCCGGCGCAGAAACAGCAGATCGACATGGCACCGCCGGCACCGGAACGCGAGCTTCTTCGGTTCCGGTGCTCCGTCTGCGGCAAGGCCTTCCCGTCGCACCAAGCGCTCGGCGGGCACAAGGCCAGCCACCGCAAGCCGCCGACGGCCGCGTTGCCCATGCACGTAATCGACGCGCCGCCGCCGCCGTCGGCCGAGGACACAGCCTCGTCGTCGACGACGACAACAACGTCGGGCGGCGGCAGGCACAGGTGCTCGGTTTGCCACCGTACCTTCGCGACGGGGCAGGCGCTCGGAGGGCACAAGAGGTGCCATTACTGGGACGGGCTGTCGGTGGTGTCGGTCACGGCTTCGGCGTCAGGTTCCGGGTCGTCGAGCGTGAGGAACTTTGACCTCAACCTGAAACCGGTGCCGGAGACGGTGGCCGCTGGCGTCAGAAGGTGGGGAGAGGAGGAGGAGGTGCAGAGCCCTTTGCCGTTCAAGAAGCGCCGGCTGTCAAGCCCATCATTGGAGCTTAATTTATAGTAGCATCTTAATTCATCCTAATTCCTTACTGTCCAGAAATTCATTCGTTTACTTTTTTTTCTTGTTAAAGCTATCCTTTGTGATTAATTATCTCTTCGACCGTCTTTATATTCGTGACCAAGGAAGAAATAATTTCTGAATCATGATTGATGAAGCATCTCCATTCAAGAGTTAAGTTTATGATGCCCCAAGTTGATATTGTCGGCAGTATTACCATATGCTTTTTTCTCCAATTTATATCTACTAGAAAAAATATCTATGCGTTGCAACGGGTGAAGGTTATCTTAATCTTATTATTGTTATACGGTTTAGCTAAAGTGAAATTCATTGTAGGAATTTGCTTGGATATTGTTTTTACAATATCATGAGCTACAATTAAGAGTCCGATCGTCTTAAATTAGCATGCGAGTTTTTTTAAAGAGATTTCGTACACGACTCCTTCTATATATATTTCCAAAAGTAAACGAATTTAAAAACCTACTCAAATACAAATATGTAAAAACGAATGAACTTAAAAACCGACTCAAACACGGATGACGTACCAAAGTACCGGTAAAAACATCTTCAATTTTTATAATAGTAGAGATATTTATATCTATACCTAATTAAAAAATACGTAAGGCTTCCGCAACCCCTTCGACTATCCGGCCCCTCCCTCCCGCGATCCCCCTCCCGCCCCTTCTCTCTTCTCTCCCTCCCTCCCTCCCAGTGCCCCTATCTCTCCCCCTCCACAGCAGCCCCTCTTCTCCCTTGCGCCGCCCCTCCTCTCCCTCCTCCCTCCTTCCCTCCCGGCACCCTCCCCCCATCTCTCCCTCGCTGCACATGCTCCCCCTCCCTCTCGACATCTCTTCTCCCAGGCGCCCCTCCTCTCCCTTGCGTTCCCTCCCTCTTACACATTCAAGAAAAACAGAACCTCCTCGTTTGGGAATATGTTTTGATGTATGTCACACCCCAATCCGACACCACCGTACAACGGCACCTGACAGGAGCGTGTCGTAGGAATAACGACGCGAACCGCTTCCTACGAAACCGCGATCTCAGTACCAGTCCCAGGACATAGTGCTGGTACCCACGGTGACAAATATAAATCATTGCAAATCCTTAAAATAAATAGAGGACTTATTTACCTTAACTTAGGTTGCAGCTCAGACAGCCCGAGAATGCAACCGACGACACGGAAGAGGAAACTCCAACAACAACAGCAGCAGCGGAACCAACGAACTAACACCCAACACCACAGGCGACTGCTGGGAACCAGGACGAAACCCTAATCTTCACTTCACTTTACTTCACGACGGAGGAACTATATATATTTATATAGAGCAAGGGTGAGTACTTTCGTACTCAGTAAGTCACAGGAATTTAGGTGTTTGATGCAAGCTTGGAAGAGAGGCAAGGTTGTTTTGCAAATCCTTTGTTTGAAATCCATTTTGAAACCACTAAGTGATCTATTTCTTTTTGAGTTTGGATCGAAAAG